TAAAGAGAGTTTGGCAAAGTTTCTTCTGTATCTATTGTGTGGTACAATTTGAGGAGTATTGACCTTACCTCTTCTTTGAAAATCTGGTAGAATTCTTCACTGAAACCATCTGACAATTTTTGGTCGGGAGACTTTTAAAGACAGCTTCTATTTCCTAGTGGTTATAGGTCAGTTTAAATTGTTTATTTGGTCGTTAATTAATTGTGGTGTGTGGTGTCTATCTAGAAATTTGTCCATTTGTTTTAATTTTTCTAGTTTTGTGGAGTACAGGTTTTTGAAGTATAACCTGATGATTCTCTGGATTTCCTCAGTGTCTGTTGCTATATCATCATTTTCATTTATGATTGTCTTCATTTGGATATGCTCTCTCTGGCTTTTTGTCAGTTTGTATAAGGGTTTGTCTATCTTATTGACTTTCTAGAAGAACCAACCCTTTTCATTGATTCTATGTATTGTCCTCTTTGTTTCTATTTTATTGATTTCAGCCCCAATTTGATTATTTATTGTTATATACTCCTCCTGGGTGAGTTTGCTTCTTTTTGTAGTAAAGCTTTCAGGTGTGCTGTTAAGTCACTAGAGTGAGATTTCTTCAAATTCTTTATGTGGATACTAATTGCTATGAACTTCCCTCATAGCACTGCTTTCATAGAGTACTACAAGTTTGGTTATGTTGTGAATTCATTTTCATTGAATTCTAGGAAGTCTTTCATTTCTATCTTTATTTCTTCCTTGACCAGTGTTGTTTCAGTTGAGCATTGCTCTGTTTCCATGAGTTTGTGGGCTTTCTGCATTGGTGTTGTTGTTGAAATTCATCTTAAAACATGGTTATCTTAGGAGATATAGGAAGTTATTCCATTTTTTGTATCTGTTGAGGTTTGCTTCTGACGGAGTAAGTGGTCAGTTTTAGAGAAGGTTCTATGAGGCGCTGTGAAGGTATATTGCTTTGTGTTTGGGTGAAATGTTCTGTACCATTTGAGTAATAACATCTGTTAGTTCCATTATCTGTTAAGTTTTTGTCTGACAGAGATGTCCATTGGTGAGAATGGGATTTTGAAGTCTCCCACTATTAATGTGTGTGGGTTTTGATGTGTGATTTAAACTTCAGTAATGTTTCTTTAACACACTTATGCCCTTGTATTTGGGGCATAAATGTGAAGAATTGAGACTTAATCTTGATTGATTTTTCCTGTGTGGAATATGAAATGTCCTTCTCCATCCCTTTTGAAAATTTTTAAGTTGAAGTCTATTTTGTTCCATATTGGAATAGCTATACCATTTTGTTTCTTAGGTCAGTTTGATTGCAAAATCTTTTCCCTATCCTTTACTCTGAGGTAATGTCTTCCTTTGAAGTTGAGGTATGTTTCCTGTATGCAGCAGAAGGATTGATCCTGTTCATGTAGCCTTTCTGATAGCCTGTCCTTCTATAGGTGATCTGGGTCTTTGGGATTTGCAGGTGTGAGATTATCTATTGCCTGTGTTTCATGGGCCCAGCTAAATTCCTTGGGTTGGAGTTTTCCTTCTAGTGCTTTTTGTGGATAGGTATTGTTGAATCAGGTTTTGTCATGGATATCTTGTTTTCTCTGTTTACAGTGATTGAAAACTTTTCTGAATATAGTCTTCTGGGATGGCATCTGTGTTCTCTTAGTGTCTGCAAAACCTTCTGGTTTTCAGAGTCTCCATTGAGAAGTCAGGTGTAATTCTGATAGGTCTACCTTTATAAGTTCCTTGGCCTTTTTCCTTTGCAGCTCTTAAAATTCTTTCTTTATTCTGTATGTTTAGTGTTTTGATTACTATATGGTGAGTGGACTTTTTTCTTGGTGCAGTCTGTTTGGTGTTCTATAAGCTTGTTATAACTTCATAGGCATGTCCTCCTTTAGGTTGGAAATTTTTCTTCTATGATTTTGTTGAATATATTTTCTGTGCCTTTCTGCTGAAATTCTTCCCCTTCTTCTATCCCGATCATTCTTAGGATTGGTCTTTTCATGGTGTCCCAGATTTCCTGGATGTTTTGTGTTAAGACTTCGTTGGATTAAATGATTTCTTTGACCGAGGTATCTATTTCCTCTATCATATTTTCAAGGTCTGTGGTTTTCTCTTCCATGTTTTGTATTCAGTTGGTTATGCTCACAACTGTAATTCCTGTTCATTTACCCAGAGTTTTCATTTTCAGAATTCCCTCGGTTTGTGTTTTCTTTATTGCCTCTTTTTCATTTTTCAAGTCTTGAACTGTTTTCTTCACCTGTTTGTTTTTTCTTGGTGTACTTTAAGGGTTTTGTTGTCTTTCCCTCCATTTCTTTAAGGGAACTTTTCATTTCCTCTTTAAGGGCCTCTATCATCTACATAAAGTTTTTTGTTTGGTTGGTTGATTTGTTTTTCAAGACAGGGTTTATCTGTGTAACAGCATTGGCTGTCCTGGAGCGTGCTCTGTAGACCAGGCTAGCCTCACACTCACAGAGATCCACCTGCCTCTGCCTCCTAAGTTCTGGGATTAAAGTGTGTGCTACCATCACCTGGGGTCATAGTTATTTTTAAGGTGATTTTCTTCTGCTTCATCTGTTTTGGAATGCTCTGGTCTTGCTGTTGTGTAACCACTAGACCACTAGACCCTTGTGGTGCCATATTGCTTTTTATATTGTTGAATGTATTCTCACAATGCTATTTACCCATCTGGTTTTGATATAACCGTAGGTACAGGTGTTGATTCTTGTCACATCTGTGTTGTCCGTGTTTATTTCTTTTATTGCCTTTTGGCTTGAATGGCCAGGGGTTCTGGTGACTGGCTGGTTGTCAGGTGGAGTAGGGTTGCCTCTGCCAAGGTTCGTAGGGATTTGGGTGCCTAGATCCAGTGTATCATCCAGTTCTTCTGGCTGGTGTGGGCTTTACTCATACCCACAGGGTCTGTTCTTCCAACTGCTGTAGAGTTTTTCTGTGCCTGTTCTCCCAACTTATGTTGGTGGCACCTATGCCTATAGGGTCTGCTGATGTTGCTGGAGAGGGTTGTTCATGGGGAGGATGCTGGGGTAGGTGGGATTGGGCAGCAGAATGGGTTTGTTCTTCCAACCAATATAGGTGGTACTTGTGTCTCTAGAGGCTGTTGTGGGGAATGGTTGGCCAGGGGAGGATGATGAGTTTGGTGGGTTTGGGTGACAGAGTGGGTCTTGTAAGTTTCAGAGTACAATGGGTGGTGGTGGTGGTGGAGTAGCCGGCCTGCAGGACTCTAAACTGCTAGCAAACTGCTGGGGCTTAGATGGGAAGGGAGAGTGGCATGCATGTGCCCTGGGACTTAAAGCCTAGAGAGTGGGGCAGTTTATCTGGGAGACCAGTCACTCGACTCTTCTTCCAACTGATGCAGGGTGCGTGTGTCTCTAGGGGCTGCTGATGTTGCAGGGGATGGTTGACTAGGGAAAGGATGGTGGGTTAAGGAGGGTCTGGACCAGAGGAGTGAGCCTTGTAGGTTACAGAGTCCAATGAGTGTCAATGGTGGTAGAGCGGCTTGCTCCTAGGACTACTAGCTGTTGGCTTGCTGCTTACTAATCTTTCAGAGAATGCAAATTGGAATTCCATGAATCCCAGCACCCATGATAGAAGTTCCACAATAAACACACACACAGAGAGAGAGAGAGAGAGAGAGAGAGAGAGAGAGAGAGAGAGAGAGAGAATGTTAGATGTGGTGTTGCACAGATCTCAGTGTGAAGCCTGGTCTACAAAGGGAGCTTCAGAACAGTAAGAGCACTTACACGGAGAAGCCCTGTCTTTAGAAACAAACAAAACATCACAATGGATTGTAAGTCTATCTTCCAAGGCATACTCACAAGCACATACCCACACCATAAACACAGTATGAGAATTATAATTTAGTTATACAGCCTTCTAATGTCTCTTCTTCTAGTACATGTAAATTTAAGCAAAACCATACCAAATCACATTCAAAGAAGTAAACAAAGAAACAAACAAAACCTGGATCCAGTGATTTTGTTGCATTCATTATTAGTGTGTGTGTAGGTCTCCATGTGTCTGAGTGTGTGTGGAAGCAGCCATGGGTATGTGCTTTGGGTAGCTGTCACTTTGGGGAGTTGGGTCCACCAGTGTTTCTGAGGATTAATAGATCTTTAGGCTTGTGAACAGCTGCCTTTACCTGCTGGTCCATCTTGTTGACCTTCCATAGACATTAATGTCAGACATGTGAACTTGGGCAGGCCTGAACCACACCACCCTGGAAGGCTACACAGCACAGGGAGCCTTTCTGAGGCCCAACTGTAGAAAAGGGCAGGGTGAGAGTACTATATTCTATCAGCAGAACCAGCAAGATCCAGAGACTGACATGGACCTTGGAGCAGTGGTTCCCAACCTTCCTAATGCTGTGACCCTTTCAATACAATTCCTCATGTTATGGTGACCCCCCAACCATAAAATTTCTTTGCTACTTCATACCTAATGAATGCTACTGTTGTATATCATGATGTAACTATCTGATATGCAGGACACCAGGCATGCGACTCCTCTGAAAGTGTCATTTGACTCCAGAGTTTAGAAACACTGGCTTGGAGGTTGTTCTTCTGGGATTAGAGTGAAGCTCATTTGTTCAGGCATAGAGGAAAGAAGAGCACATGGGGTCGTCTCACGACTTCTTCATGAACTTGCCTCACAATGAAATGAGAAGGCTAAGTGTGCAAAGCTGCCTGCCACCATGTCTTTTTTCCTCTGAGTGGGATCCCTAGACCCTTATGGGACATGGGGAGAGCACACACTTTCACCGTGGCTCACGCACTCCCAGACATACAACACACACTCACACTCTAGTATACAAAAAATGTGAATGGGCTTAGGTACAAATGGGGAGTGTGGTGTGGCAGAAACAAACAGAGCATGTTACATGTTGATTCATTCTTCTAGATTAGACATGACCATGGCCATGGCTCTCTTGAAACAGAGAAAATGCCATTGTCCCTATAATCCTACTGTCTGGAACTACAATGTTAGAAATAAAATATAAATCAACATTACGGCTACTTTGCCTTTATTTCTGAACACTGGGTAATAAACATTCTTAATTCACCATCTTTGAGAAGTCTTCTGTGACTCTCTCAAGTGCCTTTTTAGGGTGTGTGCGTGAGAGAGAGAGAGAGAGAGAGAGAGAGAGAGAGAGAGAGAGAGAGAGAGAGAGAGAGAGAAACTTCTTTTCGTGACTACAATCTTGTGGTCAAATTTTGACATCTCTCATGAAATGAAAGACAGGGATGGAAACTTGAATTTTCAGCTTTCTCCTCAGTTGGTCCAGAGCATGAGAGGTCGGTTTTGAGCTGCACTCAGCCCTCAGAGACCCAAACATCTGGCCAATGCAACCTCATCTGGAAGCCCAGGAGTTACCAGCATCCAGATGCTTGCCATGTTCTAGACTGAGGAAGGTACATGTGAGTGTACTTCCTAGAACTGACAAGGAGCTCTCCCAGGCATGGTCAGTGTCCGGCCAACTCTGTCAAAACCCGCAGGTGATGGCCTTAGCAAGCTTCCTGAGTGCTAGGCAATGAGCTGTAAGGCGGGACATACGTTTTGGAGTCAGAGGTCTTCCACCTTCTGAAGCTGACACTGGATGCCGTGGTCCAGAGCTGGCAGGTACAGGGTTGACTGTCAAGTCCTCAATCACAGACTAGGACAGAAGGTCTGGGTTCACACTTGTGTCTACCCTGCCTGCTGGCTGGCGCCTCTTAACTGGAGCCTCATTGGTGCACTCCTGAGCCCCTAGTTCACAATGGCGGCGACCAAGACCACGCCTTCCTTTTGACACGTAGTGACCAGGAGAAGACAGATCCGGGGTAGGTGGTGAGCCTGGAACTAAATCAGGCTTCTGGAACTCATCAACTGTGGCATCTGATTGCTGCCTGTAGCTGCAAGGAATCTTATTCCCAGTGGCTATCGGCAGAAGACAGTGTGAGACCTGGAGAAGCCGGAGATCCCTCAGTTCCCGAGTTTTTCTTGGTTCTTCGATCGCCTGCCGTGTGTTGAGCTCCTGACCAGCAGATTGCACAGTCTCTGTGTGGTCCACAACTGCCTGATCTTGGCCACGTTTCCACAGCTCATATCTCTCAGGCTGCAGGATCCGCACAAAGGCGTCCATGGAGAAGCTCACCCTGGCCTCCCCACAGCTACACTGAGTTGCCACCTTGCCATAGTCGATCCACCTCGGGGTGGCAAAATTGATGGCCTCTGCACAGTTGAAGCCATGGTTGAAGCCAGAGTGGTAGCCATAGGGAAAAGTGACCATGAATTCCCCAGCCTCCTGCGTCATGCGGCCAAAGGGGATGCTGTTCTCCTTGAGCACGCTGGGAGAGATGAGTGCCACCTTGTGCCTCAGGAAAGCCTGGCAGCCCTGGGAGCTGCCTGGGAACAGCTGTCTGGCCAGGTGTTCCAGGCGCCGGCCATGCTCAGGGGGCACCGCGTACCACGTCTTGGGCTGCCCAAAGTGCAGATAGTTGATGCTGTACAGGTCCATGTCCTCCGTGTGCCACGCGAAGGTGGTCTTCCACATGCCAAAGTACAGGTAGGGCGTGTTGACGCCCTCAATCACGATGCCACATTCTTGTTCCAATAGGTCCTGAATTGTTCCCAGGTGTCCCACGTTCCAGTGTTGAGTTTTCCCATCAAACAGGGAGCCGCTGATGTCAGCACCATAAATTGGTGACTCATAGAGGCGATTCTTCCAGTATTTTCTCTCCAGATCTTCAAAGTTCAAGTGTGGTGGGGTGCGGTAATTTTTGCTGTTGGCCAGGTTGCGGTACTGCCCCACTGTCATGGCTTTCTTCTTCTTATGGTATTGAGTGAACACCCCTGCCTTGCCAGACACCACTTGCTGCAGGGGCGTGGCTATTAAGATGTTGTTGATATTGTCATAAGACTGCCTGGCTCTCCACTCTTTTGGTGGGATGACCTTGGCCAGGCCAGCTCGGTGTGCCCCTTGGGACTCCATGTAAGCAATGTATTTGTCAAAATCATTAAACTCTTCTTTTGTTGGACGAAATATCATTATGTTGCAATTTGGATTCTGAGCACAGTTGGACTTAGACTTCATAGCTTCCATTTAAACACAAAATTCCAATATATACACAGGGTTGAGGAGAGTTTTTTTAAATAAATGAATAGCTGTGGGTGCGCTGTGGTAGAATCTACCAGTCAGCTTCTGTATGTGTGCTGAGAACAGCCTTCCTTAGGCTTTGTGACACACCAAGAGCCAGCACTCTGGCCATCAGCTTAGTCCAGTCACTGAAGGGCCGCAGCCTCTGCTGAGTTCCCCAGGGAAGACCTGGGTCTTTCCTCCTGTTGTCTATTGGGATGCACAAAAGCTGGTGTAGTAGAATGTTGTCTTCAGGGAAGTGACTAAAATGCAATCTGAAAGAACAAAGTTTGAAATGTTTACAAAAGCTCAGAGAACTAGAAATGAAACACTCAATTGCATCGTCACTTCAGGGGCTTTTCCTCAGGGTGATGTCAGCACAAATGAAAGTGGGAATGTGGAGCAAGGGCGATTCTTGCCCCCCACCCAAAGGAATATGATATAAGGCAGTCAGCTTAGGACTGTGACAATCTATGTGACTGTTTCTGGAACTGAACACACGAATGTGCTATGATCCCGTCATTGAGTTACAGCAAATGCTCATGCCTAGGCACTGACAGCCACATCCCAGAGTGCTGGCGATACTGTTCTCCGACTAGCACATTCTGCAAACAGCAAACTCCCACCAACAGCAGAGTGGATGGGGGCATTGCTGCAAGTCTATACAGCAGAAGACCATCGAGGGAGAAGGAGAATATTTCACACAGGAACCAATTCTATAAAACTGATACTGGGATTTTCTAATTCAAGACGATACCTATTACATGATTCCATCTGCATAAGATTAAGATGAGACAAAGAAATTTATGTTCAAAGTCAGCGTCCAAAGTTCACAGAGCGGGTATCTCTGTGAAAGAGAGATGTTTGTGGGTGGGAGCCTAAGGAGGGATTTGCAGTTGCTGATTTGCTCTGAACCTAGCTGCAGCCTAATGCCTATCATTCATTTAGCATGGTGACCTTTACAAATATCTCTCTATTAGCTTAAAACAGTTCGGGAAAATAAGCACTAAAGCCAAAGAGGCATGAACAATTGGATTAGAAGGAAAAGAGTAATTAGAAATGAACCACACATTAAATTGAAAAATCTAGGTAATTAGAATTTGAAGAGATTGTTAAGAAAAAGTAAGTAGCAAGGCGGTGGTGGCACACATCCTTAGTTCAAGCACTGTGGAGGCAGAGACAGGCAGATCTCTGTGAGTTCAAGGCCAGCCTGGTCTACAGAGCAAGTGCCAGGACAGGCTCCAAAGCTACACAGAGAAACCCTGTCTCAAAAACAAAGAAAGAAAGAAGAAAAGGAAAAAGAAAAAAAGGTAAATAGGGGTCATGCATTTCCTTAACTCACATTGTGTGATTTTATGGTCACATAAATGTTTTGTACAACTGGTCTTATAAAGACAACCCAGGATTACAGAACTATGAGTAAGGGCTGTCCAAATGTATGAGATAAGTAAATGGTAGGTGATTAGTCAGGCTAGACTTTCTCCGTGGCTGTACAGCAGAGAAGTCCGGGAGAGTGTTGGTGGTGGGAGCTCAGACAATGACAGATCATTTCATCTACTCCATATGAAAATGAGAATGAGAGCCCTGAGGGCAGTCAGGGGGAAGGAGACACTATTTCATCCTGAGGTCAAACGTTTCTGTGAGGGTGTTGTGAAAAGCGAGGTGCAGAGCATGAGACACTGGAAACGGTCTCTAAACTAGCCAGTTTACACTGAGTACTTCTTTTGTGTCTGTCTTGAGACCTTCCCTAGTTTTTACTTTGTGCTGTGACAAACTGTTCCTCTCCTTTCAGTCTCTCCTCAAATCCTTACAGCTCTTCTAATCTTCACTTTCCTAACTAGATGACCTTGACGCTCATCTTCCTTCTTTCTTAACAAAATACATCTCTTCTCATCTCCTGACCTTCATTACCTGGGACTTTTATTTTAAAAGTTTCATATCCTACTCTTCCAGCTCACAGCTGTTCCGTGGACTTGGTTCTGTCGGCGCTACCACTGTATGAAGGCCGCGATGCGGAGAAGACGACGTGAAAACCACTAGCTTGTGTCCTCAGTCTCAAGTTCCGTCTGATCCTCTTGCCTCCACAGTTTACTAAGAGCTTCACACTATTTCCCACCAATCTTAGGACTTTACTCAGGCACCTGGAACACTTTTTAGAGATAGAATCCAATGGGGCCCATCGGCCCGCAGCATCCTGTCTCCTCTTGGTTGCAGCCTGTCTCTCCTGCGCTCCTCCCAGGAGAGGCTACTCCTATCCTGAGTAACACCTCAGCTCCTTACCTCAGCACCTCCCATTCACGCCAGTACTCCAGTCAGTTAAGCAAGCACTGCCACCATTTTCTTTATTAGTGCTCCAGTGATCAGTCTCTTTCATGGGCAAAGCTATTTCCCTTTCACCTTCTTTTCAGTTCTAAAATGTGTCAAAACTTCAAAGTTTTTACATTCAAGAGTCCTCAGAGACAAACTGACCTTCCCACCAGATGGTGCTCTAGACTACACCTTATTCATGTGGGTGTTTTATGGAATACCTTCCCTTCCTCCTAGTACTTGACCTCTAGGGCACTATCCCTCTTTCTTGGATTTTCTTTTTCTCCTCAGATCCCTCCTCGACCACCACCCACTACATAAATGCAACCTTATCTCAAAGCTCAACTCTCATTCCTCGGAACTTCCTATCATGCTGATGGCATTGGTGGGTGCTGATCTATCTTTCCCTTCCCCACAACTCACTGTCACAGTCCCTTTAATACTCAGGCTCTCAACTTTGCTTCTCTGGGTTGGATCTTCCACTGAGGCCCTGAGAGTCACTGTAAAGGACAAGTGAACCATTTCCCCTTTGAGACTAATTCTGGTAGAATCTTCATTTACACTAATGGCAACACAGCTATCCTAGTCATCACTGACAGTTTCATCATTTCCCAGATTTGGTCAAAGGCACCAACAGAGTCTATTGTGAGAGCCCGCGGCCAGCTTCACCCTCAGGCAGTCTCTTTGTGCTCTCACCCTCCACACAATGACGCAGCCTACTCTACTCTCCTGTCGTAGCACTCCCCACGTCTATTCAAACAGTCTTGAAGGTGGGCTGCTACTGATATTCCATGCATCCTGTGATAATCTCCCATCTTACTCCAAGTTTTAATCTTAAAAATTATCTATGGTGCAAACATAAGGACCAGAGTCTTGATCCCCAGCACCCATGTACAAGTTAGGTATACTTCTATGTCTGTAACCCTAGAACTGAGGACTAGGGCAGAACCAACTTCTGGTTCAGTAAGAGACGCATTTCAAAAAACAAGATGGAGATAAAGACAGCTGAGATGTACTTCTGACTTTCTATATAAGCACATAAACTAGTGCACACTCATATGCGCATACCCACACACCAATGACTGTATAAATTACTTTGACATATACAATAAATTTTAAATATATAGGCAAATATTTCATTAGTCTGAAAACATGGTCTGAAAAAGTGAGATAATTTCATAGGAGACTTAAGTACTCCATGAGGATCTTTCCTCTAAGATATAATAAAAATGCTTGCTGTTAACACTAGTCCCCATTTCTAATTGAATATTGAATTGAATATATTTTGAGCTAGACATTTAGTATTTTCTAAACTGCATTTGTAAGGGTTCTAGGAAGAATAAGGCAATATGTCCCTATATATAAGGCAATACTCTGCTTTTGCAAGTTTAGTCTATGCTCACAATAATAATGCCTAGAATCTACCAACTATAGTTATAGCAATCCTTCAGTATAAAATCTCAAGTGGCCACCTTTACAGAAGTCTGGCCTCTGACTTCTCTCAAGTAGAGTCCACAGGACCACCTGTCATGGTAGACTTTATCTGATCCATGGTAACCACAGTAACAGGAGTCTTCACCAAAGAGACTGGTGGTTCTGACGACTGAAGAAGTGTATTAAAAAAAATGGTGTCTTACCTTGAAGGATTTCTGGAAATTAGAAAGCCATTGCTCCACATATTTAAAAACAATGTCTCCTGTCAGTCAGATTACTCAGTGGGTAAGGCACCTGCTGCACAGACTGAAGATCTGAGTTCGATCTCCAGGACTCTCATGGTGAAGGAAAGAACCCAAAGTTGTCCCCTGCCCTCCACACATGCACCATGACACTTTCCCTGGAACCCTCCACATAGAATAAATTTAAAAAACAATGATGTCTACACTGTGTGTGTGTGTGTGTGTGTGTGTGTGTGTTTAAAAAGAGAAGATAGAATATTAATGGCCCTTTCTATTACAGACTATAGGAGGAAAACTTTCTTTCATGCTGTTCACATGTTCCAACTCTATGCTTTAGATGGGGATTACTGGCACTATGCCTCAGATATTAGCCACTGTTTCTTTAGAAAGCATCATCTTGGGCAGGAGAGATGGCTCAGAGGTTAAGAGCACTGGACTGCTCTTCCAAGAGGTCCTGAGTTCAATTCCCAGCAACCACATGGTGGCTCACAACCATCTGTCATGAGATCTGGTGCCCTCTTCTGGTGTGCAGGCAAATATGCAGACAGAACACTGTATATGTAATAAAAATAAGTAAAATAAAATAAAAAAAGAAAGCATCATCTTTATCAACCATTTATTTGCCATCAGAGTGGTCCATAGCTGAAAACATTCTATAGAAATAAAAGACTCACCTCTTCTCTCATTGGACAGTCATTTCTCACAGTTCCACAGCTATTACCAATCACATGCAAATATTTACCTCAGCTTCAAGTATCTGAAACAGCACATCCAGTAAAATATTGAATGAAATTTCTCAGAGTACATACTTGTAGATGAGATGACATTATTGTAGCATTATTTAAGATCTTCAGTACTTAGTGCCAAAGCTTTTCTATAAGACATGATCATTCCCCAGTATTGCAAACTTATTTTTAAGCCTTTTACTATTTGATGAAGTATAAATCGTTATAATTTCTCGGGTCACCCTGGGCTTTTCACTACCCTGGAGATACACTTTTCACTAATGTGGGTCTTTGAATCTTATCAAATTACCTTATTCTCTTTTGTTCATTTTCTGTTAACAATGGTGTGTTTCTAACCTATTTATATGAACATTTTACATAATTACACCTTAAGTCCTTTGTTAGATAGTTCTGCCTATTTGGCATATTTATTATATTTCTTTAATTCCACTGAAATTAAAATGTTTGATGTATTTTTAATGTTTTATGTTGTATATACTTCCCCATGTAAACACATGGAAGTATTACCTAAATTTTTTCTTTTTATATGATAATCCTACCTTCTATCCTGGGGCTTACCTTTTAAGTGTTTGTGGGCTCTGGTGTAGCTGCCTCCTTGATCTTTATGGATAAGCTATGTGTGCTATCTGTGGTTTCATTTGGTCTGGCTCTCTCCCCTTTGCCCCAGAGGAGTTTCTCTCCCAGTGTCCTTAAGTCTGACTAGCCTGACAAACCAAGTTATTTCTATGCAGTTTCCAAGTTTCTTCTTGGATGACTTCTCTGCTCCTCGCTTGTTAATTGGATGCTGGAATGCCCGTGGATTGGACCCTGTGATTCCTTTTTATTTCTCCCGATTCTCTAATTTTTAAAATCGCTATACTGCACCAAGATTTTTTTTCTTATCTTCCCAAACCCATAGTTGTGCTGTTTTCATTTCCTTTGTTGAATTTCGGATTTGCAATAGCTCATTCCTGTTTCCTTGGTTTTGATTGTGTGGACTCCCCCTTTCATATTGATCTTGCTTTACAGACATATTCAGCTCTAAAAAACAAAACAAAATAACAGACAAAACACTGTTAAAATATCATTGGTTTTTAGAGTTTTGTTTCTTGGTTCATGTCAAATACTTCTGGCCATCATCCCTGAAGTCATGGTCTCTTCTTCTCTCACCTCATTCCTTTCACCAAAGTTCCAATTCTTGCATTCCAAACCAAGCCTGGAGTCTGCTGCGTGGTCCAAGGCCTGGGTGAGCATTCTGTTTTCTATACTCCGCCGTGACTAATTAGCAAGTGCCTAATGAAATGCTGCTGGGAAGCCCCCAGAAGGCAGTCTGCTTGGCAGGCAGCTTTCATCTCCAGGAGGCAGAGGCAATGCATGCATTGCTTCTGGAGCTTCTTTTGTTACCACGGCACAGGGTATGTCTCTGCCCCATACAGCTTGCTGTTCCATTCCTCATATGCTGCAAATGAAAGGGAAAGGTGGTTTCTCCTGTGTGTTTGTGCCTAGAAATGCCAATGTTTTCTGTGGACATTCAAGTCAGGAGTATACAGGAAGTATGGGTATCCAGAAGCATACATAGCAGGAAGAATCAGTAAATGTTATATTGTGATGTAAATCCTGAAGACTAGGATTTGGTCTTTAAATCCAACAATGTAAGTGTCACAATATGACTCTAGTATGGACTATGATTAAATTGGGCATGGTATTACAACTTCATTCTAGTTACTTTCTGGGGCATGTGAACCAGAATGGTCATAGGAGTTCCCAGCTACAAAGAGTCCTCTTTCATCATTCAATGGATAAATTACTTTGAATTGAAAGTTATACACTCCCTGAGTCTGCAAGTCTTATACATGACAACACTCTAACGCAATCTCCCTTTGACTTAAGCTACAGTGAATTTTATAGCATACAACTGAGAGAACCCTCATCCATACATACCCTCTCCTTCATTCCTGTTCCCCAAAGCTTGTGTAGTTTAGATATTTTTTTGCCTTTATGTGTTTTTGGACTTTTCAATTTCAGGTGTGTAGTTTAGGTATTTCTTTTGCCTTTATGTGTTTTTGGACTTTTCAATTTCAGGTATCATGAACACATATAATAAAAGCTGTGAGATGTATTCTGTGACGCCCCTTCCCAACACACACAGATAATCCCTGCCCCCTGGCAGCTCTATCAAATTTTCTGGTTAAAGTACTGAATCTTTGCCACATAAAGTTAACCACAGCTGATTTGTATAGTGAACAATGACTGCACTGCTGCTTGGTTATAATTTTTTATTATTTTTCCCTTTCTGTTTATACATACTCATTCTCTGAGTCATTTCTAGAAATTTAAATCAAAATGCACAAAGCAAATTAGGTTACTGAAGCAGACTTCTCTTTTCAGAAATGCACTTCCTGGAGCCCTCATGTTTGCTTGGAGCTCAGAGAGTAGTCCTAGGTAGTTACACAATCTGATGCTGACATTTTCATCCTCCATAATCCAAGATTACCACTCTACTATGGAAGGTTCCTCAGGCTCCTTTCTAGTGGACACACTTGCTTCAGCAGGGAGCATCCACTGGAAACATGCCTAGGGACTCGTTAGAAATGAAGGATCTCCAGGAGTTTGAAAATGCATCCAGGAAGAATAGTCAACAATCCGTACTGGGTGTTCATAAAACTTTCCCTTACCAAAGGCATCAAAGATGCTGAGCAAGTCATTTCCAACTAGGATTCATGTCACCATTGCCTCTGTAAACTCCCACATCCATCAGAGAGATACATGGTCAAATTTATCTAGGAGGTCTTCATAGGTCAATGTCTACAGTAGATGCTGTGTAAAGAATTTTGGCTTCAGCTCTAGTGAAGCAGGGATTATGTCAAAAGTTTCCTAACTATGAAACAAGAAGCTTAAAGTTATTGGGTGGCTATAAATGAATAACACACGTTTGCTAGAATTTGGACATCTAAAAATCTCTTTGTTCCATGCTCTTGCTTTTCTTTCAGAATTCTGAAGACATTCTATTGATTTCTTCTCAAAAAACCAAAAACCGTTTGTTAATTCTTTGATAGATTTTGTTCCAATTCTGTGCATGCTTCTAGACTATTCCCTTGATAATTTTCTACAATGTTAAGGGATGAATGGTGAATCTGATGAGCTACTGTCCAGGCACGTCTTACACATTCATGTTCTACATTGCTGTGAAACAGCCTTTCATGTATTTCTTCCCACATCATTTCTCCTCCTCATCTTCTTATAAGACATCGTTTGGACAGCAAAACCTCATGACTGAGACCTTAATTTTATTACCTGTCTCTCTTCAACATCTTGTTCTTTTGTTATTAGTCAAGCCTCCTGTCTGTTTTCATTTCCTGAAACTACGTCTCTTGTGTGAATGCTCATTGTAGATTAATTGCTGCAGATCTCTTTGGAGAGGGCTAGTTCTTTCTCAAGTCTTTTCTTGGAGAGAGCTAGTTCCTTCTCAGATCTTCTCTTGGAGAGGGCTAGTTCCTTCTTAGGCTTCATGTGCTCTCTGCACTGCATTTTTCTCTCTGCATTCACTCCATGAGGATGCTCTGGCTTCCCTGTATCAAGTTATATATATTTAAGAAGCGGGCACTAAGTAACTGCTGTGTTTGTTTGCTGTAAGTGCTCTAGAAGGAACCTAGTCATTTCCTTTGGGACACTTGGCAATATTTAAAGGTGAGTCTAATTAAAATACTTGAAACTTGTACATTTTTTTAAAGACAGGATAGGGTCTCTCTACAAAACGTTGGCTATCCTAGAACTCAGAGATCCACCCATCTCTGCCTCCCAAGTACTGGGATTAAAGACGTGTGCCACCATGCCCAGCTACACAATTTTTAACTAGTAACTGGGGCACAGGAATTTGTGGTGTCTGAGGTGTTTTTTGTGTTTGTTTAGCTTGCTTTTGAGACAAGGTTTGTGTAACCCTAGCTGTCCTGGAATTTGCTCTGTAGATGAGGCTGGCTTCGAACCTAGAGATCCACCTGACTGCCATCATGCCCAGATCTTTTCGGTTTTGTTGTTAATGGATACACTTAAAATTGATGCTGTAATCTCAGTATTCCAGAAGAGGCAAGAGGGCCATGATGTTGAAGGTTGTATCGGTGAGTTTCAGGACAGGAACACAAAGCATTTGCTGCACTGTCTATTCAGGTTCTGTTGTTTTGGTCCACCTTTAAGTCTATGGTCTCAATTGAAATTAATTTCTGTGTAAGAATCCAAACTCATTCTTTTGTACTTGAATATTCAGTTGCTCCAGTACCATTTTGTTTTTTGAAGATTCTTCTTCTCCCTGAATTGTGCTGACACTTTTGCTGAAAATCTGTTGATTTTAAGGGCTTTGGGAACTGTGTTCCACTGAATCTGTGCACATCATCGCCAGTGTGGTCTACTTGGTGGCCATCCTAAAAACATACCAACAGAATTGATCTTGTTTCTTCATTCCTCCAGCTGCACTTGCTAGTCAGTTTGGTTTATCTTATTAATTTTGACTTACTAGTATTTTCCAAGTTTCAGTTCTGTGAATTATGACAGTAGCTTTTTAAAGTCAGTTAGCATGCTTTTCTTGTTAACATGCACACTTTTAATGTTTGCAGTGAATTCTTACCATTATTGCAAATAACTTACTTCTAACCCACAACCTCCATTTAAATTATAAGCCACACTCTTTTTAAAAAATTAAATGCAATTTATTACTTTTCCATTATGACTTTTCCTTTATGCCTTGTTTAAGCACTCTACCTTCTTGAGGCCACAAATGTATCTTTTTATTTACTTATTTTTCCCAGTGGAAATCAGGAGAGGAAATACATCTGGAAGTAAATTTGGACAGCAATGGCTAATAGAACACAATCCAGAATTTAAAATTCTCCATAAATGGTCAGATGCTAATCCAATTAATCCTAACTTTCAGGTTTTAAATATAGTATAAATGACTTCAATTTATAGAGTAGTTATCTGCTGTAATTTTTGCTTCTCTCATGAAATTCTAGTTTTCTGACATCTCTGTTCTCCGACTCCT